TCAATGAGCTCGTCATTTGAAAAGTAGATCTCCAAACGAAAAAAACACCTGCATTCAGGGGCGGGAGGGGGCGTGGTGGTGCATTGAGGTCAATGGCACCGCAGCCAGGCTTTGCAGGCAGGCCCCTCGCCCACAGTGCGATCGCCTGCATTAGTGCCTGTGTTCCAGTCCAGTGCGATCCGCAAAAATGCTGCAAGCACTATTTTTGCAGATCGCACTGGACCGGAATGAAGGCACTAACATGCCTGCGTTCCGAGTGCGGGCGATGCCATTGACTTCAATACAGCCCCACACCCCCTCCCGCACCTGAACGCAGGAAGTTGGCCGGCTTACATTCCAGTGCGCCCTACATGTCCCGGCGTCCTGTCCACCCGTGGTGCTCGTGTGGCCGACGTTGCACATGGGGTGCCCTGCACCTTTCCATCTGCAGCGTCTGACACATTCAGCCGGCAGCCGCACGAGCACCACGGGAGCATAGCCGTAGCCAGCTCCTTTTGCACCTGAGGTTAAGAAAAACACATTTAAAAAAAAAATGTTTTTACTATTTTTTATTTTCATTTTCTTTTCTTTTTTTCGTAATTTAATTTTTTTTTTTACTCTTGGGGGGGGGGATATTTCCCTTTTAAAATAGAAAAATAAATTGAGGACACAAAGTCCTCAATCTCTTTTTCTGCAGCCTCTATTCTAAATGAATGGAAAGCACAGAGGCTTCCCATTCATTCAGAAAATATTTTACTATCAAGCAGTTTCTGAATGGGGAGGAGCCTCTGTACAGAGTGCTTCTCCCCATTGAGAAACTCATGCATGAACAGGACGTGATGTAAATGATGAAGATCACTTACCATTCATTCATAATTGAGGGTATAGTTAACATACCATGTCCTCAATTATCTACAAACACTCAGCGATCGCTGAGTGTTTGTGCTCGCTCTCCTCGCTGAGCGAGCGGTGCAGGGAGGAGCCCAGCCTCCTTTGACAGCGCTGGCTGTCTCCGCCCACACACCGCTCTGCCGGACTGTCATAGGCGGCTGAGCGGTGTGGGAGGAGAGACGCCGGCCGCTCACAGCGCTCTCGTCCTGCAGCGCTCGGCCGGCTGTCACTTTCTTTTCTCCCCGCTGGAACAGCGCCCAGCGGGGAGAAAAGAAACCAGGGATGCGCCGATATATCGGTGCATCCCTAGTTTTTACTGTTGAAGTAATTTCATCTTAATTTACTGTCACAGTGACAACAGTTTCCCCAGAAAGGAAGTGAGGGGAAAATCTGCAACAAGAAAACTAATTTGGGCTTTTAGTGCTAATTTAAGTATAAGTAATTACTAAACTTTAAATGCAGACTCTTGCTCGTAGAAGCTGGCAGCAAGATCCCGCAGTTAGGCCTTGTTCGCACCAAGCGCGGAGCAGGTGCAGAGCAGTTGCAGACCGGATCAAAACTGCATCCAATGTATTCCAATGGTATTTTTTGCTCCAGCGTGCAGTTCCAGAGCAGGTTAAATAGGGCTTGCTGCAAACGCATCAAAAACGCATCAATGATTGCCTGGAACGCACTGAAAGCCCATGTTCAACTAAAAAGATGTATTTATTTATTTTTACCAAAAACGGCCCGGAACGCATCAAAAACGCGGCAGAACCCACTGCACTGCATGTGCAGAAACCTGAGCGGATCTGCTCTGCATTTGGTGTAAACAAGGCCTGAATGTTGTATGTATGTATGTAATGTTTCTGTAGCGTTTACATACATGCACCATTATTGGCCTATAGGCCGCCACTGTCCAACATGTAAATATGAACCGCGTGTAGATAGCAGCACCTGTGCCGCTTATTACATACTATTAATGTTTACATGTGGGACCTGAATGGGTGATGAATGAATGAAGGTCAGTCATTCTGTGCATGTGCCACCTCCACTGAAATAACTAATACAGGGCCGACATGTACACATCAATAGTGTGTAATCAGCAGCACAGGTGCCACTGGCTACACATTCTTGATACTGACGAGCCCATGTCAGCCCTGAGCGGCGATTAGTACAAATGTTTATATGCGTACAGCTAAAATAAAGCTGAAATATATGTCCCTGACACACACACATATATATGTGTGTGTGTGTGTATATATTTATTATATATATGACATTACATTACACTGCCATTACACTATATATATGACATTACATTACACTGCCAGGCGCAGCAGTGGGAATGGGCCCATACAGTAGACTTCCATACCTCTGTGTACAGATATGTACAGATATGTACAAAACTATAGGGCCCATGTGAATGATCCCTGACACATTGTAGGCCCCATTCACAACAGATCAGTTGCGTTGCATTACCATCTATTTTTTAACAGATGGTAATGCAAGGGCAGCAAAAAATGAATGGGCGTGAATGGGGACAGTTCACAGCGTTGCATTGCCCTATGTTGCGCTGCAAAAAAAGTATGCTCTTCTTTTTTTCAGCGCAATGCAATGTGTCGAAAACACATAGTAAAGACATTACAATGAAGTATGTCCACTCAGGACAAATTACTTTACAGCTTGTGTGTGGTAAAGTAGCCACCGCTCCAAGCTCGCTCTCCTGATGGACTACAATCTCACGTTTAGTTTACTAATTTGTATTGAGATTGTAGTCCATCACGGGAGGGAGCTTGAAGTGGTGACTACTTTGCAACACACACGGGCCATGGGGAGCAAAAGTAGCCCCCCTCCAGAAGGAAGGACAGTGTCAGTACCAATTCAGAGATGATTTGAGGATCTACAGCCGAGTGATACACAAATAAGATACATTTTTGGTAATATTTAAGGTTCTTGAATGCATTCTTAAGATTTAACTCCTGAGTTTTAAGCCACTTTTATCCAATCATATAAGGTCAGATCAGGGATAAATTCTCAAGACCCCATTCACACTGAGCGACATGAAAAATAGCGCATTTTTCCGTGAGATTTCGAGCTGAGCGACATGAGCTACATCAAGCTACATTGCACATTAATTCGCGCTACATAGCGCAACTTTTTGGAGGGACTTCGTCGCAGCTACATTGGGCTGTACCAATCAAAAGCGGTCTTGATGTGACATCATTCCTTCTATATTGCTGTGCAAAAGTTACACTTCTGCAGCATGATATCACGTGACAAGGTTGCGCAATATCGCTGGTAATGCCCGATATTGAGCGACACCATTGAGTCTATTGGGGCCAAATCGCGCAACATCCGCCAAAAAAATAGGTCATGTTCGAGCTACAAGCTTGAGCGACGAGCTACAGGCGACATTGAGCTGTGAGACGTGAACAGCTCCATTGAAATGCATTGGACACATTACATTGAGCGACATTGAGCAGAAATATGTGCGATTTTGGAGCGGAAATCACGCGACAAACCGATCAGTGTGAACGGGGTCTAAATGTCTGTAGGTACCTTGGGGCCAGATTATAATTTACATTCCCTTTTAAATGTATTTTGTTCTGTGTGGTACTCAACATTATCGTGACTTTAATGCACTTTTTGGATAACTGTGTGCAGGTCGACTATTCAATGTACGCTGTTTATAATAAAAGCAAACCGACTCATTGCTAGGGAATCATGCTTGTTAACAGAACAGTTCTCCAACTAGTGATTAAAGAAAAGTCTTGATAGGTTTCATTTATTTGCGCGCAGTTAATTATATTCACATGCAAACCAAGAGAAGGAAGTCCCCTTTTTGAAGACAACAAAGCTTAATTCTTCAGGTTCTATTATAAAGGCCCTGGACGAGACAAAAAAAAAACCGGGTTGAGACTTTAAAGCATGACGTTGTTCGTGCCCTTTCCCTGTAAAATGAGAATGGAAAAATGAAGGCTTGCCATACAGTGGAGAAATGTCAACAAATATGGCACGACACTCTCCTCGCAGTAACATCACACTTAATACACCATAAGAAGATTGGGGCATGTCATCCGCTCACAGGCTCGAGGCCTTGCTTTTATGTAAACGAATACTAATATATGGTCTGGTTTATACAATCACACAAATATGTGGAAATGTTTCCATGCCATGATTGAAGCCTAAATGCTTCAAATGACTTCTGTTGGTTTTCACTCTAATTGACGACAGCACTTCCCAGAAAAAATACGGATGGTGGGCTGTGTGACTGACTGGAAGTAAATGCTTTAAAAAGTGGGT